TCTACTCATCTTCCCTATACGTAATTATTTCTGGGGCGATCTCTGATTATAACTTAGATCAATCTAGTTAGGGTAACCCTGTAATTATGCGTAATGACGGGGCAGAGCGAGATGTCATCTGCCAGTCAGATCTGCGGCTCCCCCCCTCAGCCCTCTCCCAGCTATCTTCTCTGCCGATTTCTCTCTCTCTACTCGCGTCACACTCTACTTTCTTGATTGTTACTCGTGTATTAGTCGCCTATATTGTGTTTCTGCCTAATTCGTTACGATCATACGAGGTCCTTTGGAAGTCAATACACTGCTCTTTGTTAAGCCGACAATTGTTACGATGGCCAGGATGAGACATTCTCGCAAGTGTGACTGTGCCCACCTACAGCACGCCATGCTATATGTGCGGACTAATCTTCTTCACAATTGAGTGTTATATATGTGTCCTACTCTATATATTTATATGTATTACGGAACGGAAGGTTATGTAGAGTGCGACGAATTTCGGAAACCGTAACGGTCAGTACATGCCGGCGCCAATGGGGGTTTTTTTGGAACAGGCGAGAGCGGAACCTACAAGATATAGATATACACACTTATGGTTGAGTTAAGAGCATGAAGCCACTTAAATTTCTGAAGCACATCCACTCGTCTCAAGCGGAGCTTTAGCGACTACATAATCAGAATAATTTATGATGTGCGGCGAGAGAGAGCAAGTATAAAAAGAGATACATGTAGAAGCCACGTACCCTAAGTGCGTGAGTTTAAAGATGATATGAAGACCCAGTAGCTGGGAGGAGATGTGTGGAGTCAGTGGAAATTGAGAGGAGAAACTTTTCCCGTTTTATTTTTGAGATCAAAATGCGTATTAGCACGCGAAGATGAGTTTGAATTGTAATTACCAGCTGTGCGATAACCTACGTGTCTATGCATAATATATATGGAAGAGCACACGCAAAGTGCGTGCCATCAGCGATGCCGCTACCCGTCCTGTGACCATTAGAGTTGTGTGTTAAGCAGCTCCCCCACCCCGTGAAAATCTGGTTGAAATATTACTCATAGCCAGTAATAATCCCGACTATCCGAGATAACATCTCCTCCACTCGTGTCTTAACATTCGACATTTTTCACATCTTAACTATTAACGTACGAAGCTGCGCGTATGCTCACGAGCGGCTAAACCAAGCAGATATGAATTGTTCCGCAATGCTTTATATTATACCGGCGATCGAAAATGAGCGCATCGGCCGCATGTATTACGTGGCCTCAACCATCTCCTGGTTCGTCCTTGCGGTGCCACCTGTCACGTGTTGTAGCCGGGTTCATTCGAGTGACGCGCTGTGCACTCATGGTTAAATTTTAACTACCGACGAACAGATATTATGCATGCGATATCATCCCCAGCAGCTGCATTAAAGAAATAATAGGCTCCACTTGGATTTATGCAATGTTGACGAGATGAGCTGTAGGGTGAACTGTGTCCCACCGTTGTTTGTAGTTAATAAGTTGACATTACCTTACATGTGCGCACAACCAAGTCGCTTTATTAGGGTTTGTCCAAGTGTTACACCTAGCTGAGTCACTTAACTATGAGATGCGCGTAATCCAAAAATATTACAAGCATTTAGCCTACAGTCTTTCACAGACCAGCTCGCACCGCGCCGAAGAGCGAGCTGTGTGCCGGAATCTGAGTTAAACACTTTGATTCACAGAGAGTTTATAGTGCAGTGAGCGGCCAGACATTCTTGCCAACGCAAATCGACCTTCACTCGTGCGCCGAGCGCTACATGCTCGGTACTCATCGGGTTGAATTACATACCTAGATTTATTCAACATCGCGAGCGCTCGCTATGATAAGGATATCTCAGGTGGAGGGACGCATCTACACATCGCGGGTGTGTTTTATAATTGAACAAGGTTAAGACAAGCTAATCAATTAATACTGCAACAGGCATTCGTCAAAATAAAACGGTCGAAAAGTTTTATTATTCAGAGTAATACTGCACGCATGTTCAGCATTTTACCTTGTACACTCTCTTCTTTATAACGCTCGCTTGATAATATGTGACCTGCAAAGTATATTATTATCAACGACACAGTCATTAAAGCAAATTACAATAAAAGAAGTACATTAAAGCACATTATAAGCTATGGCACGGTTAGCGCAGTAATGGTTCGGCATTATAATACCGAGTGGCTATATGCCCGGCAGCCGGGCACGGTCTTCGATTCCTACAATGCAGTGGCCGTAGCTAAGGATTTTTTCAAGCGTGGAGGGGGGGGCACTGGGGGGCCTCCTACATTTTCGTAGGGGGGCGGGGCACAAATATATAACATCTTTTTTATCTATACTGTTTCTAACGGATAATGTTTTTAATTCAATTTTTTTTTTATCAAGCATGAATTTTCAGTGGGGGGGCACCTGGGGGGGCACAGAAAATTTGGGCCCCAGGCCCCCCCGTAGCTACGCCCCTGCATAAATGCCCGGCAGTTTTTAATTTTCAGCGATATCTCAAGTAAACAAGGGTTAGGGTTAGGGTTAGGAACTGCCGGGCATTTAGGAAATCGAAGACCGTGCCCGGCTGCCGGGCATATATAGCCACAGCGTTTATAATAGTGGCTGGTTGCAATAACGATAAAATTTCTTGCACAAGATTTCTTAGCCTTGTGTACAAGTCGCACCCCTGATTTTTTTTATTGAAGTTGTGTACAAAAAAGTGTTACTTATACACGAGTAAACACGGTATATATCAAAATACAAGATTTACATATAACGATTTATTGGGAATGGACATCAAAGCAAAATAACCTGTATTTGATTTCAAGTTTAGGGGAAGATGCCATAAGCTGCGTTTACACTATAGATTTTTGTCAGCAAATCGTCCCGATTTCAAGTGCATTCCAACTTGCCCTCGACTGGACCAAAGTGCATTCCAAGAAATTCGATTGTGTTGGAGTCGGAGTCGGTGTCAAGTCGCCGAGTTGGAGAAATAGAACGTTCTCCAACTCGGCCCGACTCCGACTCCAATACAATCGAATTTCAGCCGATTGTGTTGGAATGCACTTGAAATCGGTACGATTTGCTGACAAAAATCGATAGTGTAAACGCAGCATAACGTTACACGTATAATTACATATTTAAACTAGGACAGATACTAACCACTGGTCCTTGCTTCATCTTTGCCACAACTGTCTGCAAAAACGAACAAACAATAATGCACACACTGACACAGTACCTCGGATGTAGAGAAAAGCTCTGGGTTTCATCAACCCCAGTCTCCTTAAAACTTTATTCTTTGTCGTATCACTAGATCAGTATGATGAGTATCTGATAAATTAACAATGGAGTGACGCACTGACGGTGAAGTGTAATCATATTCCATATTCACATTTTTATTCACAAGTTTGTTATGATCATTAAATAATTGCAAATCTAATAAAGTTGGTAATGTATATTGTAACTGCGTAAACCTACGCAATAACGAAATGTAAGGGTGTTTTTTTACTATTTGCCTTTGAGCCGATAGCGGCTATCAATGTATCATGATGTTGAAACACGACGAAGTTGCAGTTGTACAGCCAGCCGACAGCTGAACAAGAAAATCGATTGGACAGGGAAGCAAATTAACACAATATGCAACATTAACTTTACCGTACCTGGTGATTTTGAATAGCAATCTTGAGCTTTGCTTGAATCGCTTCCAGTTCCATAATCAGAAGATACTCTATTACAAACACACAAATGTAAATTCTATATTTTTATTATATTCTAATCTCTATTAAAACCTCTCGAATGGGTCCTAAGATTGTCCTTTTCCCAACTTCACATAAACACCGTTCAACTGCAGCGTATCACTCCGCAAAAGTAATAATGGTTGATGGTGTCTAAGTAAACCATATACGTCACATCGATTTTTACTTTCCTGCATAAGGTTTATTAACTAAATATATTTATCACTCTACTGGCTTTATAAATTCACGTATAATATTTGCAATAATAACTAAGTACTACTTTTATTGTATAGCGGTAACAGACCAACAGCAAAAAAACCATTCATCAAATATCCCGGATGTGAAACATGGCAGCCGCCATAAATTGCTGAACTTTTAATGTACTGAGTTATTAAGGTAAGTAAAAGTTGCTTGAAAGTAGTCTTTAACCTTTAGTAACCGAAGCAATGACGTAGCAACATAAATGTAATTATACAACTGTAGATTGCGGTTAATATTTATGTGTACAACCTCAATTCATAGCAAGCATGTAGTTGACACTTTCACCCTTTCGCCGCCGAGGCCCGCTAGCTCTAGTACTACTACTTCTACTTCTACTTCTACTTCTATACTGGACAGTCCGTGAGGAATAAACGTCCAGGGAGTGCGCGAAGAACTCCAGGTGCACGTGAGAGACTTGCATAGAACATTTTCAAAATGTAGACAGTAACGTGTTCCAGAGATCGAGGCTTCTCTGGGCCAGGCACTCATTACTGAGTGCGACTAGCATACGGCAATAGGCTGTTGCGAGCTGTTGTAGTTGCCCAGCCGGAGATGCGTTTCACTTCCTCGAGGTGGCATAACAACGAAACTGCCTGATTCAATGTTTTTCCAGAGAGACCCAGTGAATTGCTGTGCTGTTGGACTAGTGAGTAGTGACTCCGGTAGCAGATTCCAGCTTCTGATTGTTCTAGGAAAGGAAGCTGAACCTGTACCATCTGTCGGGTTCTGATTTTGTTGTATGTGGCTTGTGTGTGCCGCGGCATGATGCTGGTGTTTTAGTGATGAATGATGGAAGTCGGACTGCTGCCTGATCCGTTGTTTATCTTCCGAAAATGGGCCTGTCGCGTTGACAAACCTGCGTTCCTGCAAGGGAGGGCATTGTTTAGGTTCTGCGCATCATTTTGTAACACCCCCCCCCCCCCCCCCCCCCCCCCCCCCCGCTCTCTCAGTTTTGCTGGTATTTCCCTGTTAACGAAGCGTGCTGGTCGTCTTGGCACTTTCTCAGGGGAGCGGTGATTATCTTCTTGTGTGTGGATCCCAGACACTACTTCATACTCGAGGCTCGCTCTCACCGTATGCTATTGTATGCATCTCCTTGGCAGGTTCTGGGCGCATCCTACAAGGTTCCTGCCGGATGAAATTAGGGCCCGTTGCCTTCCTTCGCCACTGATGTGGTAGACCACGAGAGGTCATCAGTGAGCTCCACGCCGAGGTAGAGTTATTCCTCCTTTTGAGCTTGCGTTCCATGATCGGTATAGTGTTGCTTGTAATTTGGGGTTTTGTTTCCTTGATATTTGTGAGGGTGGTGCCTTTTTGGATTAAATGACTTGGCCAAGTTTTTTGGACCATGAACAAAGCTTATCGATATCCTTTTGGAGAAGCTCTGTATCAGCTCCGCTTCTGATGGGTTTGTAGATGAGAATATCATATACTACTATAGTACTGCTACTAGTAGTAGTATAGGTATAACCCGCGTAAAGTTGCCGCTGGGCTATAGCATCAGCCATTACGAGTGCTCGGGACCAACTTACTCCAGCCAGTCAGCGGGAACTATGTATTTCCGCACGTGGAGGGGTGGGCGGGTTGTGTTGGTTGTGGACAAAACATTGTAACGATTGTTGTTGTCAAGTAACAAATCAATAATAGTTAATAATACTATTACTAATAGTAATTGTATTAGTACTATTACTATTAGTATTAGTAATTTGTTCATCTTTTACGACAAAACTAATATTACAATCTTGTTTGATCGCTTAATTTGTTACTTAATTTACAACAACAATGTTTTTGTCCACAACCAACCCAATCCGCCCACAGGTCCCTATTATCCAACACGAACCCCCAATGCGAGCACCGAAGGTGTGAGAAGGTAGGACGCACAATTTCACGAATGTCCGATATCAATGAAAGTTTTTGATTCTCAATAAAAATATGAACATACCCGTATTCCTACTTTGTTGTACTGACCTCCCCTGTATATGTTTTCACTGTCGATGATATTTGACAGCGTTAGGAGCACAGGCACTTGGGACAGAGTCAGTAAAAACTGAAAATAATATGAACACACATTCACAAATAGGCTCTACTACCATACCTCTCAATTACAGTTCCACTGTTGCGTCACTGTATATCAACTTTCCTTCATAAAAACCTATGTAAAAACTAACGCCGAACGCTCCCGCACTCGCCGCTGCGAGTGTGCTGTGACGCTATGATAGTATATATATAGAAATTTGCAAATTTATTTCAACTTTTCCTAATTTGCAATACAACGAATATCTAGTGTTCATATATCTTATGTCTACTGTACATATAAAGGGATAGCTGACTCGATGACCCTATGGTCTTTCGCTACCCCTTCACCCTTCAAATTAATGTTTTCTGTATCATTGTATCTTTGCTAATTGTGGTGATAAATGAATTGTTTGAATTGAATTGAATTGAATTGAATAGAGAAGGTAGGAAACTCCGTTTGCGCGATTTGCGACGATCACTCCTCGATTCTTTCACATTTTACAAACTTGTCAGGCACCTACCACCTCCATCTTGGGCTCGTTCTGCCCTCTATAGTCCACTGAACAAAACCATGTAACTACCGTGGCCGAGAAGTGCCACCTTGCTTTGTAATGTGACTTCAAACTCGGAAGTCCCGCCGTTCGTACTGATTCATCAAAAATGTATACGATTCACGATTCCGATCGGCCCCGGTAGTCGAGGGCGACGCATAAACAAATCACGGCTGTTTATGACGCGTCCCGCCTGCAGTCAATCGCGCTCCGCGTCGCCCTCGACTACCGGGGCTGATTGGAATCGTGAATCGTATACATTTTTGATGAATCAGCACGAACGGCGGGACTTCTGAGTTTGACGTCACATTACAAAGCAAGGTGGCACTTCTCGGCCACGGTAGTTACATAGTTTTGTAAACATTTATTAATGGAATGCAATTCTCTACTTAATTCTTTCTGTATAGCCTGTACCTCTGTCCCTGAAACTACTAAGGCCGAATTGTCAGCATATAATAAAAGCTTGACGTTAACTGCCTTTGCCATGTCATTAACATAAATCAGAAATAACAGAGGACCCAAAATCGAGTCTTGTGGTACTCCACATGCAATAGGGTCCTTATTAGAGAAGGTACTGCATACATCAGTTATTTGGCTTCTACCAGAGAGATAAGCACCGAACCATTCCACAGTCAGTTTTTAGCTTGGCTAGTAGAATTTTAGGGTCAACGGTATCAAAAGCTTTTTTAAATTGACTACGTCACGAATTTTCCATGGTAAAATTTGTAAAAAGAAAATTGCCATTTTTTTACATTAAAAGTAAGAACTAACGATACTAAATATATCCTCAAACTCTCACCTGATAACAATGTTTTTACGTTGGTTAAATTTGCAAAAGTCTAGACGATTTGATAATTTCTGTTGTCTAACACTATTCCCCCAGTACTGTTCAGATACTGGCGTCTCTCTGTTTTTCACCGGCAAATTAGGGCATATAAAGAAGGTATATAAGCATGAAAAGTAAACAGAAACACTAATTGTACGTATTTTCATACATTTTATTTTGTAGAAATAACACACAAATATACTACTTGATGGTGCTAGAAATTCGTGACGTAATCACTTTAAGATCTAATAAAACCATACCAGTTAGATTTCCTTTGTCCGACTCATTACGAATAATATCAGTTAGATGGATTAAACTGTGTCATTGAAATTTGATCACGCCAGATTGACACTCGTACACCGTACATACAGACCTAAGTTCCCCGCTAATAGCTCCATAGTATCAGGATAGATAAAGGAAAGGAAGTCGTGACTTCAATAAAGCAAGGGAAATTCGTCATTTACCAGCCTTCTAATAACTACATTTACTACGCGTAAACTCATCCAACTTTGAGCTCAAGATCGACACAGTACATTCGACAACATCGACCAGATCCGTTTCCTCGTAACACCCGCAATCCTGAATACAGACTAAAAACATACGACACCGCGATTCTCCAATCTTTGTCCATTAACAACCGAGCAATCGCCTATACTCAAACAAAATGCAAGCTATAAACACAACTGCACGGGCTTTGCGCTCACGCGCGAACGCTGTGGCTAGCAGGGTGATTAGCGCATCAACGCAACCACTCGCCGAGATAACCATTGACCCGGTATACAGCTACATGTTCCTGTATGACATACCGCAGCCGTCACCGACACGCACGCCAAATCGCTATCATCAGCACTCCCTGCGAGTCCCAGCGCCTCGCGGAGCGCAAGCCGCGTGGACAAGGTGGTAGTACTGCCCTTTGTTGAAGTATAGCGATTGGCACGTTATTAATGGACAAGATTGGAGAAACTCGGTGCGTATGTTAGTCTGTACTCCGATTGCGGGTGTCATACGAGGACACCGATTCCTGGTACGCTATTCGAATGTACCTGTGTCGCGATTACTCAAAGTGATGAGTTACGCGTAGTAATCGTCGTAATAAGCTAGTAATGACGAAATTTCAAACTTGTATTGACATCAACCTTCCCTTTATCTAGCTCCCTAATCAGTATCATGACCATAGCCACTTATTAGATTACAAATCATACGCAAGTGCAATTAATATCGATCCATACCAAGGCATTTGGCGACGAACATATTCACATTTAGCTCATCCATGACATAGTCCAGATGCAGCTTGTAAATCGCTTGCAGTCGTCCGTGCGTCCGTCCGGCGTCGTCCGTTGCGTCCGTCCGGGGCGTCAACAGTTGGCACAAATCTAACCGCTCGACGTCGTCACGATATACGGATTGGGGATAATCCCGAAAACGAGTTGGATGTGAAAGCGGGGTCAAAGTCAAAGTTCAAGAGTTAAAATAAGGGGACCATTCACTCCTTACCTAATGTATAGGGAAATGCAGAATTGCGGCACAAATCTAAACGGCTCGACTCTACGTTCGTGATTCGTGTATAGCATCAGAGAAAAGCCATCGACGTGCAATTAGGAGGTCACAGGTCAAAGGTCAGTGGGCCACAGGGCAAGAGATTTATACATTTCTGAGGACCATTCACGAGCGATGAAAAACATTTTTTGTTTCAGCGGCACCTAGCATTTATGGCTTATGAAAGACCATGATTGTCCCTTCTCGACATCCCGAAGAGAAGGTCGGATAACCTTTGACTCCATCAAGAGAGGTTAAACCTGATTGTTGCCTGTAACGAAGGCCTGAACTGCTGCTAATTGTGATGAGGCTACAGTCACATACAATGCAAAGGCAAATTTGTTGAACCAGGTTTACGCTCCTTAAATCATATTATTTGCTAAAAGCATCTCTACTTAGCACACTGAGTAGCACCTGTATTAGCACACTGATAATGACCCGACGCTCGTTGTGTAGGTCCAAAACAGGGGCACCCATTACCATGAGGGGGAACTGCACTATTCAATCATAATATTCTAAATCATATAACCTGCCAACGATGTTTTAACTCACAGGCTGAGCAGAAATTCTCCTTTGCCCTGAATCAATACCCCTGCCCTGCCTGCAACCAATGAGTGAGTTACTACGCACACGAGTGATCCCATCTTGATTATTGATAGACACTTCACGCGCCCTCCGCAACTGCTTTTCAAGTTAAGCTCCGTCACCCGCTCCCCCCCCCACCTCCCCCCACCACCACACTACGCTCGCCCTCGACCATATGCCATGATAACATTTAATAAGCGAAGTCACAGCTGTATCTTTATACGTACTCACGGTATAAGCAGCCTAGCTATCATAGATTTTAGATCTGTATTAGTAGTATCCTAGATATATGCTCTGAGCACGAACGCGGGGATGGGACGGTGCTCTTCATTCGTTTGCCAGTGAGTTTAGCATCAGAACACCTGCCGTCAGGTGAGCGCTGTCGCTCTGCGGCACTTGTTAGTTTATTAGTAAAGAATCCGTTTCAAGTATTTTTTATTGTGACAGACAACAGGCCTTGTATAAACATTTTTGACTATTGCTGGTCCTGGTCATATTGATTTTTTTTCTTTTACAGCACTTGTATATAATTGTGTTTGGTGATCAGAAAATGGCAAAGAGAATTGCTGATAAGGAGTTGACGGACAGAAACTGGGATCAAGAAGATGAGCTTGAAGAGGTAAATTGTGACTCAGACTATTGACCTGAACAACTTGCATGTCTGTGTTTCATTGATACAAAACACAATTGCTACTCACATTGCCGTTTTGGTATTCTTATAATGGTATTAGTAACTTCTCAAGATTATTCTTACAATTTGATTATGCATGAAATAATTATATTATTTTGCTAATTTGTGATTTTTATTACTTTTCAAACATTTGGGTTATTAAAACATTTTGGCAATTTGTTTCAGGCTGGCCAGTTTCATCAGGCATCCAGAGATGACATAAGTAAAAGGGTGATTAGGAAAGCAAAGAGAAGAGTTTTGTCGAGTGATGGGGCTGGGGTAAGTGGCACATGTTTAGCCAAAATAAGTCTTGGCATAATTTTAAAGCATAATAAATGTAGGTATTCACAACATTCTGCTCATGTGCTACTTAAAGTTAACAATCATATTCACTGTATGCTGGTAACACTTAACTTAAGGCAGCATTATATAAAGATAAAATACTTAAAATCATCCAACCTAATCTGTGTAATCTTGTATATTATTCTGTTCAGTCACCATTTTGTTGAACAATTGCAAAAAATACCACATCCACCACAATGCAACTGCCATGTTCACTAATAAAACGTAACAAGTAACTCTAGGCCAACCAATCACCATAGAACAGAAACATCAAACTCGTGGATTTACACAACCAGCAGGTCGGCAGTTGCTGTAGAATGCGCTAACGTAAATAGAGAAGCATTTTTGTGATGTTTGTGTCACTTTATTACTGCTGAAAAATAATGCATATATGGTAACAGGGATCACGCAGGAGTTTTCTGTATTTTACCATATAACGCCACACTGAGGTACTTACTGCACATGTGGGGCTGCAATGCTTAAGCGGTAGTGGCACAAGAAGAATGCGCATCGAGATATTGACTACATAGTGTATGCATCGTTACTTATATTGTGCACTAAACACCAGGTTTTCAAGATAGGACAGATTTGATGAATATTTCTATTATTGTTGTTGCCATACAGAGTACAGCAGGGGCTTTCGCAGGGTTTGCTGGATTCTCCAAGGCTGGCCCCCTGGGAGGACAAACCCCATCGTTCAGTTTTGGATCTGCTGCGGCCAAAACTGCTGCTGACTCTTCTGCGAACAAGCCTGCGATGGGATCGCTATTCACAGCTAGTACACAGATAAACAAAAGTAGCCAAGACTCTCCATCAATATCGTTTGGAGTGAGAACTTCACCAGCAACAGAATCCAAGCCTACTTCAAGTTTATTCTCGTTTGTCTCAACAGCTAGCACTAAGGCGGCTCCAATTGTGAGCGACAAATCGGCACGAAATGGAGTGTCCGTAACACCAGCAAAAGTGTGTATGTATTCTTTTGCATACACATTTAGAAATCACTTTTTTCCTTTATAAGGAAACCAACAATGTTTGGTATATGGTATTTGTGATGTTTTTAATTGGGAAACTTTGTTGTCATTGTTTGGGGACTGTCTTGTGGCTCATCAATGTTGTCTGTCTCTCCTTGAAACCAAATGCATCGCAGAAGATTGAAAGTGGCAAGGCTATCGCATGACTCGGTGTCATCTGGCAACACTTGGAATATTTCACACCTTCTGTAACTGAAATTCCCCCATCGAAGAAAGTCGTGCAACAGAAATAGAATACTTTTTATCTAGTGTTTTAACTATTTTTACTGGTCAGTTGCTTATACGCGATTTTATTGATCTTTTGCTTGGCTGAACAGCATTCGTTGCTAAAAAGCGGCGCCCACCTGCACGCCCACGCCCTGAAATTCATCTGGTTACCTGCAAATGAGAAATTGTTCGTGTGTGCTTTTGCGAGGGAGGCTCACCTGGGCCGCTTCTTCTTGCAGCTGCACGGGCGACGGACGACGGTGCGCAGTCCTCGAAGCATCGCGACCACGCGTACTACCAGGCGCTGAGATCCCTCAACGAGTCCGTGCTCACGTGGATCCGGCAGCATGTCGAGACGAACCCCTACATCATCCTCGCGCCGATATTCGTCGACTACGACAAGTACGTGCGCGATCTCGACGACAAGTACCCCTCAAGCAGCGTGGAAGACGAAACCGACGGAGCCAGCAAAGCGGACGGCGGCACGTCGGGTTTCAATCGAGCGTCGTTCGGCAGCGGCGCTCGCTCGCTGACCTCGGCGCCCCCTGGTGACCGTAATCACAATTACGAGGACAAGCCGGCGAAGTCAGCTGGGTTGCAGTTTGGCAGTGCTGAGAAGACGCCGGGATTCTCGTTTGGAAGTGGCTCCACCTTTGGACAGAAGCCGTTTAGCTTTGCTGGACAGACAAAAAATGCACAAACGGAGAAGAAGGAATCTGGTTAGTTTCAGTATGATGTGAGATTTCTGACATGAACTGGACGAGATTCAAATATGAAGCAACTTGGAGATTCAAATGTGAAACAACGTGGAAATTCCTTTATCAAGGTGAAGGATTCCTTCCCAACACTGAAAATATTAATTATCATGGTTTAGTGTGTTCTAACAAGAGTTTTTTTGTAGAAGATGAAGAGGAGCAAGCCCCACCACGCCCTGATTTCAAAGAAGTGATGGAAGAAGATGCCTTTTATACAAAGAGGTAAAGAGCATAACTTATTTCAAAATTGTGAATTTTCTTGCGACATATAAGTCATGAACACATGTGCTTTTTTCTCTCTGCAGTAATTACACTAGTGCAATCGCTTACTATATTCATATTATATGTATGTATAATATTCTATTTTGGTTGTTTCCTTTTTTGTCAAGGTGTAAACTATTCTATAAGGGTAAGGATGGAAAATTCATAGAGAAAGGTGTTGGGAATTTACATCTGAAACCTAGTAATGAGAAGACGCAGGTGGTAATTAGGGCTGATACGTCACTAGGTAAGTAATCCTCAATGAGTCGCAGGGTTTGACCTGACAAGTGGTTGATACTATTTTAATATATTTCTAGTATTTAAAACGGTTATTGCGAGTTTTTTGGCTCAGAAAAACTAAATATAGCTGAATATAGTCTCACCTGACAGTGGAAATATCACTGATTATACCAACATTAAAAACACCAAGATTTTATGCAGTTATAGCATAGAAAAATGGATTTGACTACATCATTCCAGCTCCAAATATTATCGTATGCCGACAATCCAAAATACAAATGGCGCCTTCAAACCAAGTCCATAATTAAAACAAAAGGCCATGCAATTCTGTGTGGTAAATGTTATTGACTTTTTATGTCAATAATTCAGAGCACTTTCTGTCATTGTCATTCCCGTGTTACTATCGGACTGGTAATCCACAAGCTTCTCTAATAACAGACTTTACGCGGTATTAGTACTACACTGATGTTACGCTAGTATGAACCTCTGTGTTTACACTCTGACCTGATTTCTACGGTGCGACGGTATGCATTACTGCACCGTGATAGATGTCTCGCGCTACCGCGAGAAAGTCCAAGAGATTGCAACGGTAAACAGAAACAGAACGCAAAATTGTAATCGTGCATGCTTTCATTGGATTTGGTATTTACGAAGGTTCTAAGGCATTTTATCGTTACTTTAGACAATTGCTGTTACTCAAGCAATAACGGTAGGTATCATGAAAGTGGGGAAAACACTGGAAAACTCTCGCAATAATTACTTTAAATCAGGTTCTTTTTTAATAGTAAAAACTTTATAGAGGATTAAAATGTTTTATATTTCACTATTATGCTCAGTTATGTTGTCAATACTCGCTACACACTCAAATGTAACAGTTCAATAGTAATGGGACAACATGTGGTATGTTACAGGAAACATCCTATTCAACATCATCTTGACGTCGAGCATGCCAGTTAGTCGCATAGGGAAGAACAACGTGGCACTCGTCTGCATTCCCAATCCCCCTGCAGACCCCAAGGATGACCCGTCTCAAACAGTGATGATGCTTATCCGAGTGAAGACAAGTGAAGAAGCTGACGACCTGCTCAAAAAGCTGGAAGAGTGCAAAGGCTAAAAATGACAGACCGATTGCAAGAGCAATGCCATCTATAGGACGAAAATGTGTCAATCTTGCGCCTATATTCTGGCTGCTAGTTGCTAGTAGTGCTCATGCATTGACAGTGGCGACATCTATAGGACGGAGACGGTGACAAATATTGTCTAGATGCTCTGACCTATATAGTGGTTCTCCTTCAAGGTATAGGAGTATTAATGAATTAGGTAATGAAAACTCCTGTCTATCATTTCCACAGTTTGCCCCTACATTCCGTTTGTACGTAACAAGATAGTCAAATGAATCTGGTCCAGGAAACAATGGAAGGAGGTGCTGAATAGATGCAGTGGGCAGTGTAACGTCTCCTTGGAAAGTGAATCAGTTTCTCCCGGACCGTGGCTGTTTCCATTATGAGTAAACTCTGTATTAGGAAAGCAGGAACACTTGATAATACTTTGAAGTTTGGAGAACGTTAAAAAAAATTCTCTGGGTATAGTGGCATTTTTACTTTGTGTGTGCTGTTGACCTGGAGTAGGGTAAGGATTCTAATTAGCACAAGAGCATCCGCTTTGGGTTTAGCCTATAAACTGTACCAGTGTTAACTAAGGTGGAACAATGTGGTACCCACCGCAGAATAAAGGCGATCCACGTATCGTTGCTCTGTATTTTTATCTCAAGGAATGGCAGAAACTTATAAGAGAATGAATTTTCTGAAGTTATGTTATGTGAGAAAAAAGTAAAGCGTGGCAAGTAAAAGATTCAAATGTGTTGAAGTGGTTGTGTATGTGTGTGTGTGTGTGCGTGTAAATTCGGATCTTATCGTATTCCCGCCAATGTATAAATGTGAACAAGTAATGTACAGGAATTACCTTAACTATCGTGCAAAAATACAATTGCATTGAAACGGTTTAGTTTATGTCACAACGTTATAACAGCAGCCTAGTGTGCGTGTGCGTGTGCGTGTGCGTGTGCGTGTGCGTGCGTGTGTGTGTGTGGAAAAGGTCGATTTTATGTCTCAACGTCTGTTTACAGATATTTGTGTAATATTTGTTTTGGAAAAGCTGGACATTTTTGGTTTTAATGGCTGTCTGTACGTAAAGGGTTTTTCTGTAAATTACATGGTAACTGTACTTTAACTGTCTGTTTATGGGTTTCACTATAAATACCATTCATTAAAACAAATCTACAAAACAAGTGCCGCGGAGCGACAGCGCTCATCTCACGTCAGAGATGCCAACACATATTTGAAGCAATCTGTAGTTTCTGGCCATCAAATTAGTAGTTTGAGGGTCACGTAGTGACCCGAGTTTGCTAGGGGGGTCCGGCATGCCCCCCAGAAAAATTTTTGATTCTGAGATGCAATTTCCTGCATTCTGAGGGTCAAAAATGACAATAAATTGACAAAAAAGGACAATAATTGAAAAAAAAAAAATTTCCCGATCACAGTGAAATTCGTAGTTTCATACAAACTGGTCATAGTGGTGCAAAAGGAATAGAAATTCGTATAAAATACGGATAAATCGTAGTGGTTGGCATCTCTGTCACGTCTACTGCGGTGACTGTGGTGGAGTGGTGGGATTCTAGTAAACCCTGTTAGTCCCAAATGTGTTCACATACGCGCCGAAACAGTGGAAGGCACAGGGATGGTATCAGGAACCTTCTCGAAGGAATGTTTGTTGGGATCGTTATGAAAGTTGCCACGAGATGGCGCGTACGTTTAAGTGTCTGGTATTATAAGGCTAGTAAATGACGAATTTCCCTTGTTTATTGTTGTCACACTCCTCCCTATTATACACTCCTGATAATATGATACACATGTATTCGAAAAAACGTCGTTGTAGAATTTTTATATCATTTTAACGATAAAAAACAATGCGAAACACCTATTTCTTAGAACCGGAGACTTACGCGTGAAACCCTACCAATGAGAGTTACAAACATAACATCGTGGAAAATTTCCACTTCCAGCCAGATTTCTGACTACAACTTGTTACAGTATAGCTCTAGTACTAAAGCCCGCATACAGTTGCTGCAGGGCTATAGAACATTCTATTAAGAATGCTAGGGACCAGCCCGCTGACTGGCGCTTCTGCAGCGCCACCAAAAATGGCCGTTGAAGTTCATAAATCGAATGTTTGTTCACAAGAAATACCGCAAGCAGACCATTTCAACAATAGTTAGAGGTTAAATTTTAGTTGGGGATATAACTTAAGACATATTCACTTCGGATAAGAGGCATTAATTGCCTACCACAGACGTTTTATAGCCGCGAGTAACCGTGAATAAGTTGGTCCCTAGCATTCGAAATAGAATGTCCTATAGCCCTGCGGCAACTGTACGCGAGCTATAGTACTAGAGCTAGTTACAGTATAAACCGACCAGGCTCTCCGACTGTTACACGTCGTAGGGTAGTTACACAACGTAGTGTCTCGCCAACGTAGTGTTAAGCGAGAAGGAAACTTGTGGCTAGACGTGATGCGGCCATGATGCAGAGGCGCGCCGAGGATTGACACTTTGTGTCTTCCAATCACAGTCTACACCGCACCTCTCTATTATAACTTCTAGGTATAATACCATTAGAGCACCAAATCGCCGATCTCAGGAACTAGGGCATTCTGCTAGGCTATAACGGTTTCCTACGATAGAGTTTGGCACAAATACGAAAATAACACGCTGTTTAGCGCACTGCGCTACGTCCTTCTGTTGCATTTTCGCATTTCCGTAATCAGAATAAGCCCCGCCTTCTTCGTTGATGGGCATGAATGGGGGGTCAACGACATGACCCGTTACTGCGTGTAGGTGTTTGGCGATACTGTTTGCTTTTCGTAAAATAATGAAAGGCCCGGCCAATGCATTTCGCACCGAAGTGGAAAAATTAGGCATTTTTACCCGCTTTCGGAAGTGAACGAGTGCGTCATTCATTTAAACATTGAAGTTTTTCTTAAAATTAAATAATTCCGAAAATCCCTAACTGCGCTACTCGATTGTTTTAGCCAATGAGCGTAGCTGTGTGTATGACGTCTTGCCCGCGCGCTTTATGCTTGGCTTAGCGGGCCTCGAAATGGATATCGGAGGCACGCACCTTGCAACACGCGTGTTTGGTAACTCATCCAACTTGAGCTCAAATCGGACACAGTACATTCCCCAATCATCGTACAATCTTTGCCTCCTAGACACCCCGCAATCCGAAGATACAACCTAAACATACGACACGATTCTCAATCTTTGGCCATTAATCAACCGTAGAGCGCCGCCTATGATTCAGACAAAGCAGCCGATTGCCCGCCGCTCCGTTTGCTCTGTTGGAATGTAGGAATGTGGCGTTGTGGCTCGCGAGGAGATTGGACATCGACGCAACCATAGACGCAACGGGCGAGTGCTATTGTAACCTGTACGCTGTAGCTGGAGCCGTGCAGCCGACGCGGAACATTGGCGTGCATCTGTTTGTTCTGTTGTTCTCGCTAGAGCCTAAGCATAGATACTAACCCAACTTCGGTTAGTATCTATGCCAGTGCTCGAAATAAGCTGTCCGGTTGTCCGAGACAACCAGAATTTGCGCCGACAACCTAACGCAGCTCGAGACATTGTCCGGTGGACAACCAGATAAAAAAGGTGACGAAAAACGCACTTTATTTATGTTTTTCTCAGGGGTTCTCCAAGAGCAGCTTATAGCCTGGCGGCCCGCCATTAATCTATGTGTGGGAAAGCGACGCATACTAGCCTGCTATTTCCAACACTGTATATGCAGTTTTCTCTGATTTATGAGAGGTGAAGTCGATTTGGAAACCAGCAAACAGCAAGTTCGCCCCTAATTTTGGATTTTTATTCCATTATTATTTGAAATTTCCGATGGCTTTGCCCATGCCAAAACAAACAACAGTGGGATTTCATGTTGATCCGAAAGTTAAAAAAAGAGAATTGTCGTAGTCAGAATGAAGGCTGTACATTACTCAAAAGTGCCGCAAATACCATCTCCTGCCATCTACATTTTCAAAATTTTGTGGGGAGAACCCCCATACCCCCGCTTGTTTTCACCCCCCGAAAGATCCTAGATCCTGATCCGCAACTGAATCATTACATATCTTGGGAGCAGAGAACAATGAACAAAAATGTCGCCTTTCGCATGGCACCCAAAACAAAGATTGCAGAGAAGGTAGAAGAGCCGTAGGGTGTGGAGAGGGAGGTGGAGGAGCACTTAAAGATATTAAGTATCCCGATATTTTGCGCAGTGTGCTGTTTTTGGCCCCCCTTGTTAAAAAATCCTGGCTACAACACGTTTTTGGTGTTTCTGACCATATTATATGTGATTGAAATAGGAGATTTGGGGATATTTTTTTGGACAACCAGAAATTGTTCGGACAACCCGCATTTGATGGCCTGGTGTCCGCAGGAACAACCACATTTTTTTTCTTATTTCGAGCACTGTATGCTAAGTGAAATATCAACATGGCACCGCGTAAGAATAATTCCTAGAAAAGACAGAAGACGATAAAAACACCACGAAAGATCGTAGCTCTGACAACGCCGAAATTAAGAAAGTGGTGTGCTGCTGTTAAAGGACACCGACGTGCCAGCATTAGCAGCGAACATTAGAAGCAGTGTTCGAGAAGAGCTGCATCTCGACCACGGTGATCGTGTCTGTTCTGTGAGCACATAGACAGCGACCTCACACGTCTGGTGTCCTTGCTCATAAACATTTTGTGCCTCTATACTGATTGTTTCGAGAGCACGAAATTGGACCGGTATATTACTCTGTATTCTCTAATTACTCTCGTATCTTTAATTTCTCCGGCAATACTTGAAGCAACCAGCCCCGACTCTTGATCATAAAAATTTGCAACGTTTCAGTTGTTAGTCGTTGTGGATAGAAAAGGATTGTATATGGTCCAGGAATTTGCCAAATATTGCAGGTAACTTCGTTATCTGGTGAGTTCCATGCACACTATAGCTATGTTCACGGCCTATTATTTTTCTTTAGGGCGAGTCTAGGGGATCGTCGTGGTGTTGAGGAAAGCACTGCTACCGCACACTTTACTGGTGTGCTATCCATGATGATAATTGCAGATATTATGACAGTAACAACAGTTACAGATTATTCAGAATATAACAAAGATATAACAAACTGGTCTGGCCTCAACAGCGCTCGTACCACACTATTTATTTACCATGACCAGTGACAGCAATATAGTCATAGCAACGTGTACACGAACCTCTGCACGTGAGCAGGAGCCTAACAGCACGTATATTGTACGCACGATTTGCACGTACAGCACGTATTGTTTATCACGCGTTATACACGCTGGCGCTAAGCCCGCAGGAGCTGCTGCTGATGCGTTGGGGGGGCATACTAGCTGCAAATAGGTCATGATTAGCTCGTCTATGGTTGCGTCGATGTCAAATCTCCTCGCGAGCCACAACGCCACATTTCCTACAGTTCCAACAGAGCAAACGCAGCGGCACCGGGCAATCGTGCTGCCTTTTGTCGAATCATAGGCGCCCTCTACGGTTGATTAATGGCCAAAGATTCGGAGAATCGTGTCGTATGTTTTAGGTTTGTAGTCTTCGATTGCGGGTGTCTATACGCAGGCAAAGATTTCGACGATGATGGGCGAATGTACTGTTCCGATTGAGCTCAAGTTGGAGAGTTACGCGTAGTAAATCGATCTACAGAAAATGTCTAAAATCTGCCCTGTGCCCCATTGACCTTTGACCTGTGACCCCCAATTTCGGCACAGTGATGGCTTTTCCTACCATGATGCTGTACACCGACTATCACGAGCATAGGTCGAGCCGTTTAGATTTGTGCCGCAATTCTGCATTTCCTCCCTATACCTTAAGTTAAGGAGGGAATGTTCCCCCTTCTTTTACACCTCTTGACCTTTGACCTTTGACCCCCAGCTTCGACATCCCAACTCGTTTTGACGATCCCCCCCGACGTCCCGAATATCGTGACCGTACGTCGAGCGGTTAAGATTTGCACGCACGCACGCACACACGGACGCACGGACGGACGCACGCACACTCATGCGATTCTACAAGCTGCATCTGACTATGTCAGATGAGCTAAAAATAAGGTAGGTAAACTTTATTAATTTTGCTGAAACGACACCATGGTTTTCCTATTTCAGCGTTGTACGCTCTGGGGTTAATGGGCTCTTGATATTGTACTGTGCCGCAGTGCCGGTACAGCACTTGGCCTCTTGAAAACTTGGGTTTTCATACTGGCATGTTGCAGGATATACGGTATGTATATCCAGGGTGCGAAATTAACGCGAGTCCAGAGTCAAATACTCCCTGATTTACTGACGGACTCCCTGATTTGACATATGCAGGAGTCCGTGTAACTCCCTGAAAATTCTGCTATACTAACTAGTTCGTTCGAGAGCACAGCCACGCGGACTTAACCATGTTTTTTTAGCAAATGACCCAAGAAAATTTGGCAGACGTGCACCGCAAATGTCCTTTTTGTTAATATCTGCGGTACTCCCTCTTTTTGCTCAATCATACAGGCAAATACAAACTACAATAAAACAAGTTCCTAGACTAATAAAAACAAGAGAGAAACGATGCGTCTTATACTACTTGACATGACTGCATGACCCATGGTACATAATTTAATTTTTATTTAAAGGAATACTTGACTCTAGGTTCTAGGGTTATTTTCAGTTGATTTAGGTTAAAATTACGGTACATTAAAAATTTCATGGTTCAATCACCACTAGAAATGTTTTTTTTCAATGTTTTAAAACTAACGACTACAAGTTTGATTACAACGACGGGGGCGCCACTCAAAGCACACTATTCAACCATTTTACTCCGACTTAAAACCTGCCACTGCTGCAGAAAATCTTCCACGGTTTATTCATTCATTTCAGGTGCTGACTGTCAGCCGTGCTACGCACATCCTGATCTCTCTCCCCCTTGTGTTATTGCCCTCTACACTGTTTTCTCCAGTGATCTCTATCACTCGCTTCTTCAGCAGCGGTCTACCAGTTGATGTTCATGTCTGCCAGCGGCTGCTTCATCAATCTCAGCCAGGTAGTAATTGGTTGACCGACTGGCTGATCTACTTTCCTATCTGCTTTACGGAGTGCTAACCTGACAGGAGTGTTTGTGGAGAGTCTCATGATGTGTCCAAAAAGTCTAATTCTGCGTGTTTTGATGATTTCACTCCATTCTGTAAATTTGAGTAGTTCTTTCAGGGCGACGGAACTAATTTTCTAAGGGTATCTGATATTTATGGCCCTCCTTAGAAGGCGGCGTTGGAAAGAGGTCGATTCTACCGGCAAGATCTTTAGTTATTGACCATAATTCGGAGTTGTAGAGGAATACAGGCTCTATGAGTGCTGTGAAGAGATGGTACTTCTTTGTGATAGGTATACGATGGTGACGCCTTCGGTGCATGGTGCATTCCACGGTGCATAGTGTAATGTGCGATCTGTGTAAAGTATGGGACTACACACGCATGAGCATTATATCTGTGTGAATGAGAATATTTACAATGAGATGCGCAAGATGTGAGAATGAGATCTATGCATGACTACTGAGTATTGATGATATTGATAATATCAGGAGTGTATAATAGGGAGGAGTGTGACAACAATAAACAAGGGAAATTCGTCATTTACTAGCCTTATAATACCTACGATTTACTACGCGTATGACTATGTCAGATGAGCTCAAAATTGCTCATAATGATACTACTACTGGACACAGCTCACCAATATTAATACACTTAATTCGTATGGTATATTTGTCTGCTGCCTGCACATTAAATCTAATATTTTGATGTTATTATGTGCCTAAAAATATAATTGTTACTCAACGTCTTGATTAAATATCTGCATGTGTGTGTGTCGTTTACCATTCCAAGTTTTAAAACTATCATATTAACAAACAAAAGCATTAAATTCAGTCAAATTTTCTGTATGTATTTACAGATAAACTACTCATAATTTTCAGTTTGAAAAGAAATTTTACAAAACCATTTTATAATTAGAAAATATTTCTAGAAATGCTACTCTTGTCAGATAACCAGTTCTGATGGTTTTCACACTGCTGCAAACATCCACTGCCAATTACATGTATAATAATTTAATTCTCCTTAATATAAAAGACATTCAGGAATCATTGCATTCACGACAACCCTGCATACTACAACCATGTATAATTCAAATATAATTTACACCTGCATGTTTAACGAAACACTCCAACATATCATTCACCATGCAAAAGACAAAAACTACATGCAGACTCACGCTCGCTTCAAAACTAAACGTTTATACATTACAAACAGTTGCACGTGTCATGGTCAATAATAGGCGCGTTGGCCACACACACGTAATACACATCCTTTCACAAACCAACATACTTACATATAATTCAGAAATATGTACATGGATCGAGATTAGATTATCTCCACACTTTAAGAAGCCCTGGTTGCTTCACATTACACATTGAACCCCTGTAATTTTAACAGCAGAGTAATGTATACATACTTTTACATATTCGGAACGTGCATTTAATCTTCAGTTCTAACTTTTTCCTTCTGCACTTTCGGCCAGAACTCTTGATTAGAACAAATGTGACTCACTGATTGGTTGTGCATTGAAATCGATTAAAAGATCACAGTCAATTTTGATAGGTCCCAAAATTAGATGTGCTGAAGGAAACATTCCAGCAAGCACAATAGCACTTCGCTAAACAAACACATGCACCAGGAATATAAAACTCACATCTAACTATAACAGATACCTAAAAGTTATGGACAAAATCAAAACCAATGAACTACACTGTGCACGTGATGATTGACTTGGTGCTAAGACGATGATAGGATACACAAGGGCCTCTGTTGAATCGCCGCTAAACGGGTGAGAGTTGATGCCCAATCTAATCGTGTGCAGTGTGTGACTGTGGCACTTGATATTAGCTACGACATTTTCGAGGTGGCGCCATTTGTGCTTCCAAGTGTCGGGTGATCTGGACTGTGCTTCTGCTGTTGGAATAGAAAACATACGAGCATTCAGCATGCAAGGCTATCTTGCTATATCGTGATTTGGTCTGATAGTCTGACAGCGACTATCCATGAATGGGCCAAATTACGCAAGCAATTCAATTTCAAACTCACACAGGGATAAGTTTGTCGAACCACACCTACTTCATAAATTTCTTTCTAAATAACGGTATGCAATTGACTACATGATAGAATAAGTTTGACCATGGGAGCTAAGAGATACTTCTAGCCAATCAACAATGGCTGGGCTCTTGGCTGTTCATAAAATGACACAAGAGAAGCGAGTACTCACCTTTTTTTTTTTTTTTTCCTTTTTCTTTTTCCGCTTCTCCTTGTCGTCATCGTGCCGCTTTTGTTTCTTGTGTTTTCGTTCGTGTGCTGCATCTGACATGTTGTCTGAAATTGCATTCGACCAAATGATTAAATACTTCCAATAACAAGTGCCGCAGTGCGACAGGGCTCATCTGGTGTCTGGTGTTCTGCTGATAAATTCATTTGTGCATAGCAAGACGTCTTATACATAAGTCTTCTTTATTCTTGTTTGACTTTCGTAGCCAATTGGAACAAATATATCAGCTACACTTTCGCACCCACCTAATCTCTATGCATTGCAGACACATGTGCATTGCAGGTTGGCAGGCAACAATTGTGATTAGAAACGTGCCAGCCATGGGCTGCCCTGTGTTTTTGCCTACCCACACGAGCATTCACTGATTCAGCCTTCAGGGTGCTATAGACAGACTGCTTTAGAAAATAATATCATTTAAGGAGCATAAACCTTGTTCAACAAACATTTGCCTTTGCAATTAAACTGTGCAACTGTAGCCTCACATTCACACAGGTATGGGCTCTAATAATAGCAAAAGCAGTTCAGTCCTTTGTTAACAGTCAACAAATCAATGTTTAACCCTCCTCTTGAGGGTCAAAAGGTTATCCGACACTTACTCTTCACATGTCAGCGGAAAGTACATTTCATGGTCCTTTCAATAAAGCCATAAAAATGATAGGTCACCGCTGAAACAAAAAAGTTTTTCAATCGCTCCGTTAGACCATGTCCTCAGAAAATGTCTAAAATCTGCCCTGTGCCCCATTGACCTTTGACCTGTGACCTCCAATTTCGGCACAGTGATGGCTTTTCCTACCATGATGCTATACACCGACTATCACGAGCCTAGGTCGAGCCGTTTGGATTTGTGCCGCAATTCTGCATTTCCTCCCTATACCTTAAGTTAAGGAGGGAATGTTCCCCCTTCTTTTACACCTCTTGACCTTTGACCTTTGACCCCCAGCTTCGACATCCCAACTCGTTTTCGGATTACCCCCCCACGTCCCAACTTTCGAATCCGTACGTCGAGCCGTTTAGATTTGTGCCCAACTGTTGACGGACGGACGCACGCACGCACGCACGCACGGACAATCATGCAATTCTACAAGCTGCATCGGACTTCGTCAGATGAGCTAAAAATACAACCAGTGACCACAGCCATATAAGACACAGGAGAATGTTTGATTGATTGTGGGTATGAAGACTAGATCTGGCTTCTTAAAGGCAGTACATGCATATGTGCAAACACAATTTTATTTATAAATTTATAACTAGATAGTATTGTAATAATAAAATGCAATAACATCTTAATAATTCAACTATTAACTATAGTTGACTAGCTTACAGTAATAAGAAGTATGTTAGTGGTGAGATTGTTACCTTCGTGTGATGGAGTATCACCCGGCTTGTATTCTCGCTTGTGTTTTTTATGCTTCTTCTTCTTCTGTGGCTGATGACTCATCAATCGATATTGCTCAGGCAACTGAAATAATATTGGACATGACATCAGAATATTTCTATGACACCTCAGGTAACTTTCGTGGTACTGTGGTTTCCATGCCAACTCTTTACTTTGAAAGTTGTAAGATCAAAGCCTGGATAGGGTATATTATTACTAACTAAATATTTATAATTCCTGCTAATGTACCTGCTGACATTTTAGTAACTGTCTTCCTTACCAAGACCGCTCGCAACTACTTACCGGTCCAGGGTGAAGTCTGAAGCCTGCCATCTGTGTAAGAGGTAAAATCTCTTTTCCACATATTGGTGGTTTTTCGATCAAGCCTCGTAGCAAACTAAAGAAATTTAATCAGAAAATTTTTCAGTACAATGTTTAACAACAACGATTTTATACCGTTGGTAATATCCATTAGTATTTATAATTATAAAAGATAATAACAAAGTTAATACATAGTAAAATATATACTAGCCTATTATCTTGATGTCCTGGTGTATCTATGTTGCCTGGGAGGTTGGGCAAAAATGCACTCAGGGGCTCTTTAACCTTTTTAACTGTCATCTTATTGTATGAATGCTCCAAGCCATGGTGTTGCATCAAGTTTGTTGCACCTGTTGTATCACTTTGTGCTGTGAACAAAACAAATCAAGGCTCTAAGCACAGTGATATTTAACACGTGCCGCAGAGCGACAGCGCTCAACTGACGTGTACTGTAGCCAGGTATTCTTCTGATAAACTCACTGGCAACCGAATCCAGATGAGACGGGATACTAGAGAAGCGTTGCCGAAAGGAGGTGTTGATTCTGGTTACAGTACAAGTTACAACTACAACTTACAACTTACAAGTTACAACTACAAATTGAAATTAGGAAGTGTCTAAACAACCGGATCAGGTTTCGGTATCCTGAAAACTAAACAACCGGCTCTCTTCTCTGATTGGCTAATTTTGTCACTATTTTATTTTTTATTATTTTGGGCTAATTATATTTTGTTTTAGAATTAGGGATAGGGTTAGGGTTAGGATTAGGGTTAGGGTTAGGGTTAGGGTCTATATCCCTAACTTTCAAGTTGGTTTCAGTTGCTCAACGGCAGAGCTTTCGCTTCGTGATAGTAAGGTATACCTATAAGCCTACCGTGTTCAAACCCCATAAAATGTTTTTCATTTTCCTCTGCTTTCTGTATTTTTTTGTATTTTATTTGTTTCTGCATTTATTTGTTCCGTATTCATTTTTGTTCTGTAAGTTGTAACTTTTGTTTATGTTTGGAATTAAATATATTTCTTTATGTTTTGCATTAAAAATTGTCCTATTACATATTTGTCCTGTTATGTTGGGAAACTGACCAATCAGAGAAGAGAGCCGGTTGTTTAGTTTTCAGGCTTCCGAAACTGGGTCCGGTCGTTAAAGCCGCACAATGCGCATCCAAACGCGAATTTTTCCAGTACTAGACTAGCAAACACTTCGTGGCATGCATAATCACACTACCTTATGACAAAATAAACTCTAGTTCCTCCCATTTCACTGCGCGTTTGCTTAAAACCCACAAGAAAGAGGTGAGAAAACTGGCATTCTGGCGCTAACGCCGGCTTATTTGCCAAACAATATAGCCTCGAAGTGGTTAGGGTGACGTCACGTTTTTATCTTTGCTACACCCGCACCGCTGTACCGCAGCACCGCTGCCCGCTGCACGGTTGCTTGGGGAAACTGTCAACAACATCGGAGAATTTGAACAACATTGGAGGTATTTTCAAATACCTTTTATAAGACAACGCGCAGTGAAATGGGCGGAACTAGAGTTTATTTTGCCATAAGGTAGTGTGATTATGCATGACACGAAGTATTTGCTAGTCTAGTACTGGAGAAATTAGCGTTTGGATGCGCATTATGCGGCTTTAATAGACACTACCTTGATGCTTGAAATTACAGTCACTGAGTCAGCACTACCTGGAGGCTCTTTCATCAAGTAAAAAGGACCACTTGGGATAACGGTTGGATTTTTTCCGAGAGTTATCGTAGTCCGTAGAGTCCCGGTTGAGTCCTGCCGTATGACTGCGGGAGATCTCGACCCCCTTGGACTAGATTTTGGAGAATTTTGATCTGGTGGTCGTCTCACATATTCTGCCATTTTAATATCATTTCCCGTTACCGATAGGTGGGGTAGCTATAGATAAACAGGATGCTCAGTTGTCGGAAGCTTGAAAAGAAGTTGTTCGTTTCGTGTAGTGTACTTCGTCTAAATCGTTGTTAAATCTTCGCTGGTGTAGTGTTCGACACGTTTGATCACGATATAAGGTCTGTAAATTTGCATTTTACCCTATTAAATCGGTAAAAGTATTAGTTATGCTTCTATATGTCAGCCAAGGTGTAGTAGGAGTCGGAGTATTTCTTGTACGTGTTCCTGTGACACTGAGTCTGACAGTAAAGTTCTGTTGTCGTGCAGTGTTGTGTGCACTGTGTTGTGGCAGCCGGCTCGCGGCTCGCAGTCGGCGTTTGTCTACTGCGTTTGCCCCCGGTTGTCGTTGGATATAGTTATTGCTAGTAGTAGTAGTGAATGCGATTATTAAAATCTTCTTAGTGCTGCTGTATTAGTATTAGTAATATTACTAGTACTAGTACTAGTATTAGATTATTTAATGAATTCACGTGACAAGTCTATACTACAGTAGCTCTAGCCTACTATAGCCGCTTACATTAACTGCCGCTGGCAGCGGCAGTTAATGTAAGCGGCTATAGTACTAGAGCTAACACTACAGTAGTACAGAGTGTACAGTCTATAAATAAGTATAATGCCCGTTTATACCTCCCCAATTGACTAATAGTAATAACTAATATAGTAATAATACTCATTAATAGTATTTTATCTCCAAGAAACGGTCATACATCGAAGGACCGTTTCAAGCTTTTCTGTACAAAAACCTAAAATAGACTCAGTTCCCATACATAAGCACGGCTAATGTCATTCCTTGAACAGAACACAGTACATTAATCCCTCAAATGAATTGATCAATAACGTTCCGGCTTACTTGCAGTAACGCTCATAGGGTCTATGTCCTCCAGGTTACTGCCGGAACCAGGGTTCGAATTTTGGCTGAAAATCTAGTGGACAGCAGGACCACCAACTTCAGAAAGTTGGTGGTCCTGCACAAAAGTTGGGGGCTCGCTTAATATTTACTAGCAGTGAGTAACAAAATAGTATATAAAAATAACCATTTAATTGGCATTAACTTGTTGGCTGTTAGTTGGGCTCATAGGGTCTATGTCCCCCAGGGTACTGCCGGAACGGACCCTGGGTATGGTCCGGTATACCGGAATGTACCCTGGTAACTATTTGATATGGTTAGGGAGTATGCGTAGGCGTAGGCGACTCCCTAGACTCGTTAGTGGAGGAGTAGGCGAGGTATGGTCCGGCATATTAGATAGTACCAGGGTACGTTCCGGTATACCGGACCGTACCCAGGGTACGTTCCGGCAGTACCCTGGGGGATGACTTACTCCTGCCGCCAACAGGTGGCATTCTTGTCAACAGACAAGACCATTCCTCACAGGCTAGCCACTGTTGGAAGGCAAGCCTAGGAAACGTAAACACCACCATAGTCAAAACGCTATGAACCATGTGTGACGTTCAAAGCTATATCTCCATAAAAAGAAGAGGTATGGAAACAAAGTAAAGTTTGAGTGTGCGGTGGATGTCCAACGCTAATTTAGATGTAATTTTTATCGAGTTGCACGTAATATATCATCGGTAAAATTAGGCAAGCAAATGTTGAATTTCTCGTGTTTTGGAGTGTCATACTCCTTCTATATTATCTTACTCCTGGTAGTATCCTAGATATATGCTCTGAGCGCGAACGCGGTGATGGAAGGGTGCTCTTCATTCGTTTGCCAGTGAGTTTAGCATCAGAACACCTGCCGTCAGGTGAGCGCTGTTGCTCTGCGGCACTTGTTATTAACTACAGCTGCCGGTAGCCAGCAAAACTTCCAAACAGTCCTCGTTCTCTGTCCCACTTCATAAATTATGAAGTCAATTTCCTCTGCGGAAATATTCCTATTCTTCCGCCTCTTTTACAGTTGCCGTGTATATTTTAAATATCTTTGCTCTCACCACAATCTTTGAGAATGGTGCTATAGGAGATGGGTGGCTATTAGGAGACGGTGGCTAGTTCATAAATGCTTACTTTACGATACCTTACGCGAACCTACGAACTGCAGCAGAGCAACGATATAATAAACGCAGTGGCTGGAGGTACGGTAGCCGTCGGTCGTTGAAGCCCCTTTTTGGCATTAGGGTTAGGGTTAGGATTAGGGTTAGGGTTAGGTTTAGAGTTATGGTTATGGTTAGGGTTAGGGTTCTAGCTCATCTAAACTCTCAAATCGTGAATTTATTTCCCAAGGCGTTATTTCGAAATCTGGCGCCACCGCCGCCATCTTTGTCTCGTTAAGTATGAAAGCGAATGGACTCCCGTACCCGTAGCCTCGAGACATTAAGATACGACTACCGTACCCGTAGCCACTGCCTATAATAAAGTTCATACTTAGACTAGGTGTGTTCATAGATATATATACCAACAAGAGCGTATAAAGAAGGAGAGCGTACAACGGTAAAATGCTGAAACCATGCTGCAGTATTAGTCGAATTAATAAACTTTTCCCGTTTTATTTTGACGATCCTTTGCAGTATTATTGATCAGCTGTCCTACCTTGTTCATATAAAACAAACCGCATGTCCCTACGATGCCCCTACGCTGAGATAATGAGCGGTGAAAATCTGGTATTTTCGCCGAAAACCGACTCGAGATCTGTCAATACTGCGTCCCTCACTCGAAGTGTTTCCAGTGTGTTGATTCCGGTCGCCGCTGTGTAGCGCCATAGTGGCGCTGACTCACGTAATACTACCAGAGTTTACTATACATCCAGCGTGAGGTGGGCACAGGTGGGGGTCATCACTATGGCAATCAATAACAGACGTCATTCATTCCATTTGTCAATCATTGACGGAAACACGCTGGGTTTACCGAAGTTATAACACTTCGAGTGAGGGACGCAGTATTGACTGATCTCGAGTCGGTTTTCGGCGAAAATACCAGATTTTCACCGCTCATTATCTCAGCGTATGGGAATCGTAGGGACATGCGGTTTGTTTTATATGAACAAGGTAGGACAGCTGATCAATAATACTGCAAAGAATCGTCAAAATAAAACGGGAAAAGTTTATTAATTCAACTAATACTGCAACATAGTTTCAGCATTTTACCATTGTACGCTCTCCTTCTTTATACGCTCTTGATACCAACCATATTGGTTGGTATATATATATCTATGGTGTGTTGTTGTACGTGCTGCTTTGGGATTTTGAAAAGCCAACATTGATTACCAATCCGAGATTTAGATGACATTCTTCTTTTAATGCCAACATTCTGCCTGATGTGCTAGATGGTGTACAGAATATTGGGAGACAGGAATATATGCAAATGATAAAGCACATCACGGAGAGGTGTTTTACGTAAACCACGTTTGATCATAACGTAGGGAAGCTTTTATTTAGCTCCACCTTGTATAGAATGTATATAGTTACCTCCGCCAAGGGGTTGGCAGGAGGTTATGTTTTCACCGGGCGTGTGTTTGACTGTTTGTTTGTGGGTTTGTGGGTTTGTTTGTGTACAGCCTAACTGAAAAAGTTATGGACGGATTGTCATAAAATTTTCAGGATAGGTCAGAAATCGCCTAACTTAGAATTGATGAGATTTTCGTGGTGATCCGGATCCAATTAATTAATTAATTAATTAGTTAATTAATAAAATTTTCAGGATAGGTCAGAAATGGGGTAACTTAGAATTGATTACATTTTGGTAGTGATCCGGATCCAATTAATTAATAAAATTTTCAGGATAGGTCAGAAATGGGGTAACTTAGAATTGATTACATTTTGGTGGTGATCCGGATTAATTAATTAAATTTTTCACAGTGAGACAATTCAGCTGCCTTGGCGAAGGTCTGTGCTCTCCGAGTGCTCTAGTTTTCCATAATACGACGTGCTTTGCAGCTACAGTGACTTATGTGTGTTAACTTGAGACAATTATTATTATTTACTGTATAATTCAACATGCTATATCACCTAAATCTTCTTAATATTATTTTAAAACAGTATATACTGATCGTTTGTTAACTACCAGTGATACTTTATTGTTTACATCCAAGCGTGAAATTGCCGGGGATGTGCGAATTACTCCACAACCTAGCGCATGTAAGCAGTGAGCGTGCCGCACGACCCGTGCACGTAAATAAATCCAGTGATCTAACAGCCAAGCTGTGCAACGCAAACTTGTATCATGTCTCACTGGACGTGATGGGCGTGATGGGCGCAGCCCGATGATTGGCACGCAGTGCCACGCTTACACAGGCATCGCCCTCCACCCCTCTCACCAAAGTTTCCTTCTATTGCGCAGCGGCCGGGAATCGCTGAACTAATGTTCTGCCGCATCAATCTACTCGCCAACTGTCTTAA